CAACAAAGTTCAAATGAGTTAAATTCACTTACTATGGCAGGTGTGAGGCACTATGTACATACCTGTTAGACAATGAGGAGCAGGTCAATGGAGTGACTACTCGCCCCATGCACTCATTAAATATTCCCCTATGACAACTCAAGAACGCCAGAATGTCGCATCCAAAATTTATGGACATAATCATTTAACTCAGTTGCAGTATACATTTGGCAGTGAAAATCAGCGTTATGGGTCAGATTAATCTCTTAAGGCTATTGCTTACAATCTAATCAGCGTTGAAGATTGCAATGCACAATTAAATTTCAAAAAGTGTGTCGACTGGCATTCGTACTTTGTGCTGATGACACTAAGGGGAACAAGGGACTAGTGACTTCTCACCGCTAGATTTTAGGGCGGTAAGCAGTCGACAGGTTTCTTTCAAATGATTAATTACATTCTTAAATACAAAACTGACAATTATTTCAATACAGTGGCGAATGGAACGCTAGTATGTCTCACAGGGCAATGTCAGGCTTCTTCATTCTCCCTGCAAACTCAACACAAGACCTACTTGACAATTTCATTAAAACTAAAGACAGATGAAGCTTTCAACATCACTCACAATGGATCTTGAATGTTTCAGCTGTAAGCAGGTATATATATCTATCTTACAGTAACACAGACGCATTCATTCATAATTTTAAATATCATTCATAATTTTAAATCAAGATCAACAAGAGATCCGAGAGACTGACAGAAAACGGAGGTCTCAGGCATACTGAAGCTTCGAGAAAATGAACGTCTTAGTAGTGGAATCATGAATAAGTTATAGATACATGTTTTATGGGCTATTGAGCGTAAATCATCTGATTGTATATTAACTAACATGTATGACTTTGGTCATTACACTGTGTGTACACGCCTGTCCGAAGAATACAGGATAGACAATATTAGATTTCATCGTTGCCTGTGGGACCCAAGGGACAATAGGTACAGTATATTGTAGTGGACGTCTCCCCTACAACTGGGTAGCTGCATTCCAATGCCACAGTATCCTAGCAACCAGCCACCTGCTACGTCTTCCCTAGCAACCAAACGAGCGGCCCAGAGGGGACGTCACCAGCTGCTACAGTATCCTAGCAACGGTGTCAAGAAACCGGCGAGTTCCCACGGGTTTACTTCCGGCTGCTGTGTATATAAGCTCTGTCTCTCCATTAAGATTCATTCTACTCTACGTTCCTGAACACGCAACACCTCCTCCAAGCAAGCTCCTCGCTGTCCAGCTCTCATTCAACCAGGAGGCCAGCAACAGGCAACATCTTCTCTAACGAAGCTCCTGCACATCTACCTCCTTCAGCACGCTACTCACCGAACGTGTCTACTGAGCAGTTCCTCACCACACGGCATCTCCAGCACCAGAATGTCTACCATATAACTATATTATATAAGAAAACCACCACCTTAGAGTTCCATCCATCCATCCTGAGTGTTAGACAACATAATATCACGAAACCCTACAATATAAAAAAGAAAAAAAAGAAATGAGGAAGGCATACAACACCATCTTTTTGTTTATAATTGACGAATGCGGAAAGACTGGCACACTAGTTCTCTCTTGCGTATATGACCGGCGGCTCAGAAAATGGATTTTTTTTTAATTTATGCATTAAAATGACAGAAAAAATGCGAGTGACGCTGCCTCTACGTTATCGTAAAGTCATTTTGGAAAATTTCCAGAAGTCACCCGGTATTAAATTTCGAGAATTTTCTGGTTGCAATCAATAGTTTTGTAGTGGATTCCTCCACTACAAACGCTGTTTGTCGCTGACGAGCTGACCCTCGAATCCAGCCGCACCTTGTGTCTAGGTCAACCAGTGCCGCCTTACACGACTGAGGTCAACTATTAAGCCACGCCTACCCCCGCTATATAAGACCTGACCTCGTGGTGACCTACCTCTTTCTATCTACAGCCAGTCTTCAAGTAACACCCCCTCCTCTACTCCTGCCTGGCGGCACTCGCTCCAGCCGGCGACCATGGCGACCCACACCTCGTGGTGACTTCTACCCGCAGCCACCAGCAAGCAACACCTCCTCTTCCTCCTGCCTGGCGGTCCTCGCTCCCGCCGGCGACCATGGCGACCCACAAGCTGTCCTCCTCTGAGCATCCTCACCAACCAGCTCTCTCTACTCAACGCTTGTAACCATGCTGCCTTCCCAGCACCAAGCTGCATTGTACATCCAATACAACATGTATACAGAGAGCACATTGTGAGTTTCCTTTCTCCATCCCATCCTGAGTGCGAACAAATATCACGTACCCCACAAATGGTGACCCCGGAGATTCGCACTCACACAGGATGGAGGAGAAACCGATCACTCTCCCAGTCTTCAAGCAACATGGAAGACTGGCTTATCCACACAGAGGCAGCTCTCATCGGCTCTACAGCTACTGTCTACACCGCAGGTTAGACACCCTAGAGCAGCACTGCTTCTCTAAGCAGACACCAGCTCCTCTTCCTGCCCCAAGCACCACGTCCTACCGACCCCAGCAGGCGCATCTGAGGACTCTGTACCTGCCGAGAGGGAAGCACAACATTCATCGCCCCCACACACCGTTTTTTTTCCCTCAGTCACTCCCTGCTACTGTCCTGCACCCTGCTGCTGTCGTAGACCCTGCTGCTGCCATGCACCATGCTGCTGCCATGGACCTTCTGACCCAGACCCACACACCCTTTTTCTCCCTCTCTTCTCCCACAGATCTCATGTGTCTAGACAGTTGTCTCCCCTAGCGGCCGGCTCATCCACGCCCTCGCCGTTATGTCTCACATGTGGCATGCACCGCCCGTTCTGCCTCACATGCGACATGCAACCCTGCAGACAACAAGTCTCCTACACCGCCTGGAGGGAAGGGGGAGTATTGTAGTGGATTCTTCCCCTACAAACGCTGTTTGTTACTGACGAGCCGACCCACGAATCCAGCCGCACCTCGTGTCTAGGTTAACCAGCGCCGCCTTAAACGACTGAGGTCAATTATTAAGCCACGCCTACCCCCGCTATATAAGACCTGACCTCGTGGTGACCTACCTCTTTCTATCTACAGCCAGTCTTCAAGTAACACCCCCTCCTCTACTCCTGCCTGGCGGCACTCGCTCCAGCCGGCGACCATGGCGACCCACACCTCGTGGTGACCACTCTTACTACCCGCAGCCACCAGCAAGCAACACCTCCTCCTCCTCCTGCCTGGCGGTCCTCGCTCCCGCCGGCGACCATGGCGACCCGCAAGCTGGTCCTCCTCTGAGCACCCTCACCAACCAGCTCTCTCTACTCAACGCTTGTAACCACGCTGCCTTCCCAGCACCAAGCTGCATTATACATCCAATACAACATGTATACAGAGAGCACATTGTAAGTTTCCTTTCTCCATCCCATCCTGAGTGTGAACCAAATATCTCGTACCCCACAGTTTAGACAATTTTAAGACACTTTTCTTCTGTGGTGTTTCTTACGCAAATGAACTAATCTAACCTAACCTCATGACCAGGGGGAGGGGCGTGGCTCCGCCCCCTTTGACCCTCCGGCATATATAAGTCATTTGCAAAGGAAACGTCATAGAAAAAAAAAACTTAAAATTGTCTAAACTATTGATTGGAACCATAAAATTCTCAAAATTCAATACCAGGTTACTCATGCAATAACAGTTATGCTTACTAGCATAACATTATTGCAGTCTTATAATATTGCGGCTTAAGATCTTACATTATTAAAGTGTGAGCGTGCCCTTACGGATAGTGGGTGACCTTCACTGTGATGTTAACAATGTTTTGTGTATCTGCCAAAAGTGACGGAGGTTAGATAAACAACCTGTATATACATATTCGAGAGAAAATCCCTTTATTCACTGTTGATGAAGATGTTGAAGTAAACCAAGATTTTCTTGATGTATAGAATATCGGTGTTTATTTACCACGTTACCCTGTAATGTAAACACAATTAGTATATAAATCTTTCTCCTTAAGTTTCCGGAATAAAAAAAAGTAATAATAATACACTTGGTAAGTAAATTCCATATGACGTTACCAACATGAAGGAAAAAGTGTCTCAGTAATATTAGAATTTGTATTGATAACCATAGTAAGGGTTACGGAGGTCCAAAGATGAGAATGGTTTAGTATTAATTTTCAGCAGTAATGCGTCTTTTTTGTGGGTGGTGGGGGGGGTGGGGGGGCAGGGTAATTATGAGGAGTTTGCAAAAAAAAGTGATTATAACTTACTTCCATAGCCTCCTCCATACCCATGTCCTCCTCCTATACCGCCTCCAAAACCTCCACCAAAATCAATCTCAACATGTCGTCCTCGACCGAATTCAATATCAATTTCTCCTCCAAATCCGCCTCCGCCTCCAATACCACGACGGCCACCTCCGCCACCACCTCCAAACCCACCTACAAAGAGAAATTAATTTATAATTAAGTATTTGGCATCATAGGTACCTTACAATTGCCTTAATATACCCCATGTAACTCTCTTGGCTCACACAAGTACACAAACATGGTGTTCAATCACACCTTTATAACTCCTGGCCAAGTCACATCATAATCATAAACATTTTAGTAATTGACGTATTTCAGACATTTTACTCGTACATCCAAAATCATTAATATTTCCCAAGTGTTTAATATTAATAGAAAAGTATTATATATCCAATCTATTATATTACTCCTAGTTATCTTTTTATCTCCAGTTCTTCAACTCACGTCTTCTCGGGAGACCAGTCACGGAGACTAGGAGGACAGCCGACACCAAGATGACGAAGAAGTAAAGTTTCTGTGGAGAACAAGTAGGAGAACGTCAACACTGGCAGATGCTACACTTACACTTTATACTGAACAGTGTCACTGTAGAATTTTGGTGGGAGTTGATCCAGTATATAAATTCTTAACATTAGTTTAAAAGTATATACGAATTAATGTTACAATATGTATCACATCACACTACTTGTACTCATAGACAGTCATAGTTTCACCGGTCACAAACTAATAATTCATCAACATAACGTTAGATTAGATTAAGTTGGGTTAGGTTAAATTAGGTTGTATGTTATACCATGTTAGATTGGGTAAGTAATGTTATATTAGATTAGGTTAGGTTAAATTAGGTTATGATCAATTAGGTTATGTTATGTTAGATTGGGTTGTTATATTAGGTTAGGTTAGGTTAGGTTATTTTAGATTAGTTTAGGTTAGCATTAGGATGATTCCTCTTAACTTTACCTGAAATATATAACACAATGACAACTTATGACCCAAATTAACAAAAGTGACTCACCATAACTGCGAGGCTTAGCGATGGATCTTGTCTCTCCCAAAAGAGTAATTCGGCGACTACTGATGCTGGGTGCTTGTAACCGCTGGTATATATACTGCCAGTTTACCATGGCGTCACCACAAGAATAAACACTGCAACGAAGAGGTATAGATGGAAGGAGGGGAGGTATAAACACAGGGGGAAGTACGAGGGGCTGTGATGTCCTTGGGAATGGGAAGTCCGATATGAGCCAGGGTGTGACCAGGAGTGAGGAGGACGGGGAGAAGACGAGAGTGTGAGGGAGAGAAGGAAAGAGCGGGAGAAAGATTGTTAAGCACAATAAGAAGAAAAACTAAGGAAACTAAATAACTAAGAAAATTAAAGTAAAATAACAATAAGAGGGAAGAAATAGGAAAAAAAGCAAATATAAATAAACTAGCAGGGATAAGCTTGTTCAATGCTACGTCAGCGTAAACAAATAATTTAACTCCGTCAGTGAGTGACATTCAATTTTTTTTTTTGGTCTGTGGGTGAGTCAGCTACCAAGCAGTGTACACAGATGAGGAAGGCTATGAATCCCGAAAGGTGAGTAGCGAACAAGGATAAAAAGGACAATCCTGTAAAACGAAGATGAGAAGGATCCACAGCATTGAAAAAGAACAAAAAAAAAAACAATAGAAATAATCAGATTGAAGAAAATGTAAACACCAAGAAAGAAAATTAATTAGTGATAGATAGACGAAGTGGAGTCATAAAGAGAAGGAAGGTAATAATAAATGTCAGGAAAGGAAAACAGATGGAGAGAATGTATATAGAGAACAGAGAAAGAGACAATGAAATACAAATTGAATGATAAGAAGCAAAACTGAGCAAGAAAGCTCAACCCTTTCACTACGGAGACGCCACTTTCAATATTTAATTTGACTAACGACAGACTATTTTATTCAGCACAAGAGGAGGCTGTACACAAGGGGTTGAGGGGAAGAAAGATATAAGGCCATCGAAGAATGAAGGGATGAAAGTGTGAACCAAAAATGTATAAACTACCAGCAACAGCGAAAGTCATCGAAGAGTGAAGTGTTGAGCTGTGAACCGAAAATGTTTAGATTACCATAAACAGTGAAAGTCATCGAAATAGAAAGACATTATTAAGCCACGTTTATAAAAGGACTTTTCATTTCATGTTAGCTCATCTTCATCGTTCAACTCTTCTAGTTAATGTAAATATGATATGATCAATTGATTTGGGATATATTTCTCTCCAGTACAAAGTCTGATTAACCTGTCTCGTCCTTCTTATTCTTTTACACTTCTTGACCTTATTCTTGAATATGTTTCTTTGAAGCTTATCCATAAATTTTAACAATGTCCATCTACTACCAAAACTTCCTGGACACTTGTGGATTATGCATGTAAAAAGTTTATAGCTGGTGAACGTTGCTTGTCTTTACTATACTTCAAATCATTGTCAACAACATTACAAAGGAACATCTGAGTAAATATATTAAAATGACAATGCCTCCCCTACGAGACCTTCAAGTAGATGATGGCAGATACTGACATAAACGTCTAGGGAATTTTGGCTTGCAACTGAACCCATGAGTATTTTTAGTAATTCTGTGTGCCATTTGGCCCTCCTGTGCAACTTTGCAATTCATAGCGTAATAATACTGTACTCTAAAGAAATTTGGGTTTCACTGTAAACGCCAATAGATCACAGTGATATCCATGTATTTTTTTTCCTTCTCAGTTTTAAGATTGTTATCCTTAAAATATTGTTACCCTCCTTTCGCCGCTTATCGAGTTTCCACCACTGGTTTCCAACGGCCAGGTCGTGTAAATAAAAGCAGTAGATGTGTCATCGAATTACCACTGGCTGTCCCGCCAGTCTCCGGTAATTTCCCGACGATCGGTATCAGTGTTCAGACAAACAGCAGACAAGTAGATTTCCACCAGGTCACAGAAACACACTTGTGCACTGGAGTCTTCTTTAATAAGCACTAATTCTTCACAACACTTAATAGGGTAATGCCTTCACAGCTGAACTTCTCACTTCGAATATATAGTCACACACTACCAGTGCACAATTTCTTTTATACTGCTCACAACAATTCCACAGCACTTGCACAACAATTACCTTCAGTAGTCCTACCAGGCTTGTACTTCACAATCTGAGCAAAAGCTGTCGACTGACTCCTAGCTAGCCTGCTCGTCAGACGCCTAGACCTAGAGCATTCTAGCGATATCCATGTAGGAACGAGATACGACTGGAGAGTTCTAGAATGATCTAGGCTTACAATACGTAAGTCAATTATAAAAGAAAATGATGCAATACATTCTAAAATATTCTTACATAAGTAATACACCAATATATACACAAAAATCTCTCTACACTAGCCAATATAACTGCTGCTTGGGACAGAAAATAATCAAAACACTTAGTTTACAAACATTATGATACCAAATTATGTCTCGGCATAACAGCATTAAATCCTTAAGCTATAAGTTTATAAACTTTTTTAATGATAAATATTAGTCAGTAATACATAGAACAATGTTCAAATACTAATGTACGACTAATAATTGATGATACTGTACAGTTTCAGATTCCTTAATGTGTTTTATTCGACATCCAAACCAGTAGCTTCTGCGTGAGTTTCTGAGTGTAGGTGTGTGTTACTGTGTGTAAGCCAATACGTGTGTTTATGTGTGTAATACGAAGGCTGCAAAATACTGTGTACCTGTAAAAAAAATAATTACTGGCGAAGGAGAAAAAGACACTTTATCCTAGTCACCTGAGTCAACACTGTGTTCCAGGTAAGTGAACTCTGCTCTCCTCGAGCTGCAGTATCAAGGGCGACGAGTGGGTGTATAATACCCTCAGCTCCTCCGTAGATTAATCCCAGTACGTATTTCCAAGACTCGAACATATGAAGTGAACAAGAATACCAGGGAACCACGTATCAAAGTCTGACGCCAGTGAGCTTACACGATGACATTGTAAACACACGTGGATGTTTTCCTCATATGACACAAACAAGTTAATTGAAGAAGCTTTATTTGACTTGTGGTTTATCTTATGTAGATCTTATTCTTAACATGGGAGGACGCGGCTAACCGAGAGTTACCGTGTTATAGGTGGAACTCTCCAACTAGGCACCGGGTAATTACATTAAATGTTTGTGTTGATTGGTTGCTTTCTTTCCCATAGTCAACTTGTGAAGGATTCTATACTATAGGAGAATGGAGCACTCCAATGGGCGAACGTGTTCACTCCCGAATGTGGCGCTGCCAAGTGGCCGCAACGTATATAAAACACATTACGCCTGGACCTATAACTTAAGAAAATGCGTGACATACCTTACAGTCACTGAAGCAGAGTTGTGGTTTTGTTGGCAGTTGTGTTACATCTCGTCATAATACAGTATGTTCCAAAGCATTTATTCGAGTCAAACTCTAAAAATTCACTTGAATATCACCACCTCTAAGACTGTCACAACGAACCTTTCAAGACTGCATAATAACATTCATATTAAGGAATAGATGAGAATTACTATACCTGTTCCTTACATCTGTAGCTACTATTCTAATGGTCTACAGGTAAAATGAACATCAACCTTGAGGGTAGGGGGCCCCAAGTTGATCTGTGCCTCAGGCCCCTATTAAGCTTAATCCGGCCCTGGAGGTATGATTAAGAGAAGTGTGTTGCTGCTCCACGACAATGAGTCAATCCGTGGTTTGAGGCAACTCAACTACACTCCTCAAGTGTCTATTATCAATGTCAAAAACTGAAATCCCACCTTCAAGGGCGTCGCTTATTGGATAATGAGCTGAAGGAGGCTACTGGGGCGTTGGTTTAGGAAGCTGTCAGCAATTTTCTATAAAACTGACATAAAGAACCTGGAGGACAAGTGGATAAAATATAATGGAGTTGCAGAAGAATATATTGAAATAATAAATATGAATTGTGGTACATCACCAGATCGAAGACATAAATGAACTGAAAACGATGGCCAGTGGTGAAGGATCCGCTGACTACCCAAGTTTGTGTGTGACTGACCCAAGTGACCCGGTCCTCAAGCCGTCTACTTCTATGGGTTGTGTTACGAGTTGGGGATTTAGAATATAGTTAAAAGTCTACCCAGATCCCAACAGGCAACAACAACAAAAAACAAAGACAATCGGACTATAAAAGGGTGGACAAAGGATGAGAGTTTTTGTTGTGTATAATAAAGTACCATAAATTCCTTAACAAAATATTCAGCTTTCTATATTTTACCCTTAACCATACTTAACCTAAACATTAACAGTATATACATATTTATACAACATACAATAATTTGAAGCAAGGTGGAGGTGGGAGGTAACATAAGATTACAAATACACAGTATTGCTGGATATGACTCATTTACGAACCTAACTCAAGAATCCTGCAGGAGGGGTGTGGTTATCTACGCTAGGCAAGACGTTAGAGCCAGCCAGGCGAGGGTACAGGGAGAGGATGCTTTTGAAGAGTCCAAGTGGTGTAAAATTAAATTAAAGGGAGGGGACTTACTTATCGTCGGGTGTATCTACAGATCCCCAAACTGTGGCCCACTAAATCAAAGGAACTTAAGAACCTTAATAAACAATGCGATGCTCAACCCTAGCCACCTCCTTATCATGGGGGACTTTAACTATGGCGACATCGACTGGAGAAACGAGTCCACCCCGAATGACTTGAATAACCCTGCTACTCTTTTTGTAGAAACTCAGAGATAATTTTCTGTTCCAACATGTGAGAGACCCGACACATTACAGAGGGGAGCAAACACCCAAGCCACTTGACCTCATCATAACAAACGAGGAGGGTATGGTGGCCAAACTGGAACACCTTGCCCCAGTTGGCACCAGTCACCATACAGTGTTGTCATTCAGATTTAACTGTTACCTAGTTCAAGATAAGGCCAGGCCAAGGTGCAAATATTACAAGGGAAATTACAATGGGATGAGGGAAGAGATGAGGGGTATCAACTGGCCTGACTTATTAAGGTACAAGAACGCAGACACTACGCTGAATATCATAACTAGTAAAATGACCCATTTGATCGATAAATATATACCCAAGACCAAACCCAGTGCTTCTAAGAATACGAGGGGATCCCT